TATACAAACGCAAGTTTTATCTGCGATACTAGATGTGATTACTAACCCCCGTCATCCATTGATGACAGATTGGTGTACCATCTATCAATCTCTTGGAATACTAAAGATTACTACGAGAATTAGTTTGACGTTAGAAGTAGGTTGTTATGTGAGGTTTATGACAGATAAAGCTTTAAAATCACGGTTCCCCTTATGATCTATTGTTGACACGTGTCTAGTTTAGACGTCGGCAGATCGCAAAGAGTATGGGCCACTCTGTAACGCGAACTCTAAAGCACCTCGATCATAAAATTCTTGGAATTGTTTTAGTACTCTACACAAGGACTAGAAGCTCTACAAGATTGAAGACTCTGCGAGTCTTCGCTGAGAACTTATCAGAGCTAGAGAATCTCGAAATTTGTAGGAACTTATTGTAAAGTGACTTCTAGAGTTGTAAGTCTTTCTCAAACTAAGAGCTGTGTAGCTACTCTACATTAACGCCTCATAATGCTTTGCCCAGTCTTGTTGCAACGGCTTCTCGATTCTTCCCACTTGCCATATTTGTGCCTCTGCGGTTGAGATAAGTGGCTTGATTCAGCTGTGCAGATGGCCCTATTCCGACCGATGATTGTAAAATACTTACTCCTGGCTTGCTTATCCTTAACAAAGACATATTCGGCGGCAATCGGTTAGTTAGCCGGTATGTCTTTTAGCATTGCGTGTACTATAGACATCGTAGTTGCATACCAGGGACTATACAATGGACTTTGATAAGCTAAGCTTCGTTCTTTCGTGTCACTTCACGCCTTCAGAAATAGCAAGGTGGTGATAAACTATGTTCTATTGTGTCGGTCTAGTGTCGGCCTCAAGCTTACTACTCTGTACCCGGCTGCCGATGCTCAACATGAGGCTTTAAAGAAGAAGGCAATAGTTTATAGCTAAAGCTCGATGATTGGAGTTGGATTTGGCTCAGAAGTCGACGCTAGTATCTGTCGCCAAAAGAACGACGTGGACGCCTCTGTACTAACCACGTCGGAATACGAATACCGTATGGCCAATCTGGAGTCAAATTGAGTGGCAGACGAAACAGTACGTTCAAACTTGGTGCTGAAAGCTAAAACCCGCAAGCTAGATCAACTCCCCCTCAAGCCACACCCTATTTGGCCCTCAACACGCTGCACGATCAGTTCAACTCAACTTGAGATATCATCTGCTGCCAAGGCTGGTCAGATTACAGTGAGGAGTCGCTCGGCAATTTAGCGTCTTTTTCTTCGTATATTTGACACCGACAAGAACGTCCGGTTAGATGCTCTACTGTAGATTCAAAGACCCTTCGTAAAGATGATCGGAGACCTATAGATTAAGATTCAGTGTCTTGTACCGCCTCTGTTCCTGTACTGTTAAAAACAAACAGTCTTAACTTTACTCTAGCGAAGCGTACCCTAGTATTTGGCGACACCATGCGCTTGGATGACCTAGAAGGCAGTGCCGTGACGCCTCCTCAATGCGTTTTCAAGTACTCATATTACCACCGAGCTGGATAAGGCCAGTATAAAAAAGCTACCATCTAGCTCCTAGCTGGCATCAAATTTTTGGTCGACGATGGATCTGACACTGGCGCGTTCCGTGGAGGCGTAATATCTCGGGTGGCTAATGCAACAAGATCATTCGATTTCTCTATCACGTGTGTACTCGACGCGCATTTCCAGACGTTGCACGCAACCCGTATCCGAAAATACATGACACAGTCACTGTGGCGTTGACAACAGCGGCTGTCCCTGACCGGATACAGCAACATGACAAGAATTGGTAATGCTTTACCCTAGGCCAGCCAGCGCAACGGTATGGTCACTGTACCGGCTGTCTTGCCTATAAGTCAGTCGGGTCAGCCTGTATGGTCCACAGACTGACCATATGAGCTCGATTCTCTTGTACGTGCACTGCCATTCCAGTGCTACACCTTCCAGGCATGACCGGTGACACTTTGATCAACTTCAAACACACCATCGATAGTTTATCTCAATTATTGGTTATTTTTCAGCATGCTGGTCACGTAGATGAGAAACTTTGAGGGCTCTGCAAAGGGTCGGCTGCAACTAAAGCGGTTCAGCGTGGTAAAAACGGTTGAAAACGACCGACCATATTCAGCACTGGCGACGAGTCGCAAAGATGCCTTTAGTGTAATGGGGTACCCTTAGTTTGTGGTGCCGCGAAACTTCACGTACACTAGTACGTGCAGAGGAAACTAATCTACACAACAGCTAAGTTGAGTAAAGGGTAAAAAGAGAACTGCATTTGGTATAGTTAAGCTATCAATATTATTTTAATCTTTATCTAACTAGATAAAACTACGTCGTCGTATGACGACAACCTGCTCACCACTCATTGCGCGCGTCTAGCAGCGATTGGTGGTAATCTATGGTTGATATGTCTTGTATCAACCAATCTTTGAGCAGCGCATGAATATTGAAAAAGAGGGGATAATATTCCTTCAATATTATCCATACCGGATAAAATTGGTAGAATATTGTCATGCTAGACAACATCCCCATTGAAACCGTTTGGTGTTAATATCATGTAACGGGCTACCCCGTTACATTTAAAGTTGATCTGCGCTTCTGTGTGCGAACCCGCTGTCGGATGTCGACCACTGGGCATCAGAAATGTATTGTGTATATTCTTGCAGCATCTGACCCCAGTGGATTAGACAAGGACCGCTTTTATACCCCAAATAGACATCAGTTTATCATACTCTATGACAAGGTGGGCAACGCAGTTGAATCTGTTCTCTGCAACTATCTAATTTAGAAGTCGGAGATGGACCCCTCTCTCAGTCGTGTCAAATGTCGACTCTTGAATAATAGGGCACCTCCAGTGATAAGCCATTCGTTGTGAGAACGCCGGAAGTATTACATTTCCAGTACCGTCTTTCAACTGCGACCTTATTGAGGTGGTATGCTACCCACTCCTCCATTGCTTCCATTTATTATAGAGGGTCCACAAAGCAATATCAGCGACCGTTATCGGTCCTACGGAGACATGGGGATAGCACTGTAGGTCTTCATTCCCAAAATGTGTCAAGTTTTATGTAAACACTCAGATCGGTGTACGTAGTGGTTCTGGCACTTTTGACAGCGTGATTTCCGCGGACAGATTAACCTAGTCCTCTTACAAGAGACACGTGTCGCTCTTAAGAAAGAGGTCTAATTGTACAAACTGTACCACCAAACCTGAGGGTGTGTACCTAAGCCCGACAGTATGTTTATACCGAGTCGACAGAAGCGCAGGGCGTAGCGGGGGAACGGTCGCTTGTACTGTCACAGTAGAATCTACTTACACTGAACGCAGAGTAAGGTGGTGCCTCGGGACTTCAAGTATACGCGTCGTGCAGAAGACGAGTTCAACACGAGAGAAGGGGAAAAGTAGAACTGTGTTTAGTATAGTTAATCTCCTGTCAAGAAATTCTATTTGGTCTTTATCGAACTAATTCGAAATACAAACACATGTTGCAACTATCTGCTCATCACTCATTGCGTTCTTCTGTCGTGGTTCGTCTTCATTGGTTGATATCGTTTATCCCTGTCAACCAATGAGCAGTGCATTACTTCTGCAACACAATATTATCGATTAAGATAATAATGTGAGAATATTCTATTTCTCCTAACAGAGTGTTCATACTTGATATTTACCTTGCGTGAACTATCACGTCATGGAGGCACCCTGTAACAGAAAATATCATCGCGTAATTCGTGATGTAAGGGGGGCACCCGATGATACTGCAGAAGATGCAGAAGGGTGCGAGCTCACAACGCCGCGGGTAGTGATGAACGCGGAAATCGGCTCATAATGACCCTGGCGCTGTCTTAAAGCGCGGACACGAAAATCTGGTCTGGATCGTTCCTTTGCAACGTATGCGCCGAACGTGCGCAGAAAGTGTGATGAAAACCTTGAGCACATGGTGAGTAAGCGATCGAAGAAGAGCCACATTTCTCGTAAACAGTGGCGCCTGCTGGATTCGAACGCTGGTGGAGAAAGGTAGCACTGCACACGTAACAAAGCTATTTGAAGACGTCAGCAGCAAGGTCATGTTGCATTGGTAGGAACGGTAGATGTGTGTACGACATGCATGCGTCTCACTAGCTTGTTGCCGATCAGGGATACCAGTTACGGCTGACAAAATCCGAAGTTGGCTGCTGTAGCACAATCGAAGTAACGGTGTCGCTCAGTCACGACGGCCGCCTTCCCATCCTTCGTAAGGGCGCTAAATTACGCCTGTCCGACTGCTATAGAAAAGTAGCAGCAAGCATCATAAAATTCAGTCGAAACGCAAGACTGGATTGGATGCCGTGCAAAACCCGAGAATAATTGAACGTATTTAGGTCATCATTTTGCGTGATAAAAGACAATGCAACCTTAGGTCTCGCTGAAGACCCAATGGTGTTAGTGTAACGGGGCACCCTGAAGCTTGTACTGGTAACAGTACAAGCTACTTATTCTGTTGACAGAATTAGGCGGTGCCTCGGAACTTCACGTACACTCGTACGTGCAGAGGAAGACGGTAAGAAGAAGCGAGTACTTGGTTAAAGTAAAAAGTAGAACTGTATTTATAATCGTTAATGTCTGCAATAAATCACTATTTATCTTCATCTAACTATGTCTAAATACAAATGTGTAAATCAACTATCTGCTCACCACTCATTGCGTGCGTCTGTCGTGGCGCGTCTTCGTTGGTTGATATAATGGCCTATATCAACCAATTAGGAACTACTCGTAAGTTCTACAGAAAATTTGTCCTTATGACAATATTCTGAGAATATAACTCTTATAGTTATATTCTATTAACAATTTCTTATAAATTGTTATGCAACGGTTCACCCCGTTACATCACCCCCCCCTTAACCATCAGTCACTTTAGTGACCGATTGACTAAATGGATACTCGTCCCAAATCATTTGGGACAGGGTTTGCACTTGTTGGTCCGAGTCCACTTTCCAACAGTTCATCGCATGGTTAACAAGCCCATGCGGTGCGCGAGCAAGGCCGCCGAGAGCGCGTCCGCACGTCTCTGTGCGGACGCCGAAGCAGAAACCGCAGCAACTGATGTCTCATCGGTTGCCGAAGCGACTCAGCCTGTGTCACTTGGTGATGCAGGCGCTGGTCATGAAGACACTCATGTCTTCACAGAGTATGAGCTCGGAGTCTCATACTCTCCTGATACAGAAGACGGATCCGTATCGACGGCGATCGAATCCAAGCCGCCTGCCAAGCGTGGCATGGATGATGCTATGCGTCGTAGCATCTTTGGTTCATCTGATGAATCAGATGAACCATCGCCGAAGCGAAGGCGCTCGAGGTCGCGAGACTCGGGCGCTAACAGTGGTGTCGGTTCTCCTATGGACACCACTTCGCAACGAGGTGCCAGTCCTTCTGTCGGCACGTCGCAGGAAGAGCGCGACCGCAATGTGTTGCGTCTCGCTCCTGAGAAGAAGGCATGGATGCCTCCTAAATCTGTCATGGATCACTTGTCGGCGACGACGAGTGATCGTTATCGAACACGGTTGTTCGATTCGTCAAGGATCCATCACCTTGACCCCAGCGCGAAAAACTATATCGCGCTGAGAATGAGTTCTTCATCGATGCTTTCTTTAGACATCGATGGTACAGTGGGAATCACAAGCGTGATGGTACCTCACTGCTTCAGGCGTGGAACGCCTACATCCATAACCTTGAGGATGTAGGTCGTGACGTTTGGAACGACAAACTTTTCAAAGCTCGTGACAAGTTTGAAAAGAGAACCCCGACAGTTGCACGCTACAAGCTGCATCGTCTGTCAAGGGAGAAGGGATTACCCTGCCTCTCTTGGGGAGACTCGTGCCCATGTTGTGTGAACAACTATGCACGAGCACCTAAAGAGGCTTACCTCCTTACTAGCCCGTGGTGGCGCGTACGTATCTCTAGTGAGATGTACGAAGGGATGGACAACCTGAAATCCCTTTACGACCGTGCCGGGAAGACTTTCTCAGGCGGTCCTTCTGCGGCACAGGATGTGCCGCGTCGTACTGCTCAACCAGACCCAGTACGTCAACCATCAGTTGGGAGCGGGGCTCCCAAGCATCCCAGGACGGGGGATAGCCGCGCCACCGGACGAGATAACTCGTCCGACGTCCGTTCACGTCGCGGTGGTTCAACAGCTGCTCAACTAGATAGCGCTGGCCACCGCGAGATTCCTCTAATGGAGGTGGAGGAGGAGGAAAGACGCTCTCCACACGATCGTGGGGATCCGTGTGTTCCCGAGGGCTTCTTTGATCGCGTAACGCAAGGGTTACGCAACGATCTCAAACATGAGCGGGACAGGCGTCTCCAAATGGCGGACACTGTCTCGAAACATCGAGCTGAGTTTGCCTTTGCTCAGCTTGAGAACGAGAGAGCTCTGACATCTCTTCGTGACGAGCTAAGGGTAGCTCGTGGGATTGTTGATCGGTCTCAGGATGAGATAACTGCTCTTCAGACCCTTGTCGATGTCCACCATCGGGAGCACAAGGCTCTCTGCGAGATGCTTGAGCGCAAGGGCGTTCTTCATCGGAAGAAGCAGCGTACTGATGGTACGGCTTAAGCCGACCAACGTAAAACGTGGGATGCGTTCGCATCTTACGTGGCAACTCGATCGTGTATGCATTGCCTAGGCGGTGCAATACACGAAATGGGCCGATGTACTTGGGTAGTAGTTTACTGCTACCCAAGTTAGACACTACATGCTTTGGTAGATTAACCGTAGAAAGTAGGACTAAGTCACCTTTATTAAATAAAAGAGTGTTTGCCCTTCCATTCTTGTCAGCGTTTTGCTTTTGCTTATCCACCGCTTCGGCGATGGAGTCTTGCACAAAACGGACTACCGTTTCACGAGCCAGTATGAACTCATCTGATGACTCGTTAGCTGCAGTGTGCTGTGAGCGCACTGCAGCAACATCAACCTTTTCTTCAGTGAGGGCTTCCGCTCTCTCACTGGGATCATCTTCTTCAGTGAGGGCTTCCGCACTCTCACTGGCATCATCTTCTTCGATATCGATGTTATCGATATCGGCATCAAACGCAATGACTTCTTCGTCAGAGCGTGATGAGCGTGAACCAAATCGGTTTTTGCTCGCGCGAGTCCCTCCCCCCCTTAAACCAGAGTTACACTCTAGTAAGGTGGGTACACGCGGATGGCGCAAGCCATTCACGTAAAACGGTGTATGTGTCGTGGACGCATGCACCGAGTTGTTGATGGCAAACTCTACCATTGGCAAAAACTCACTCGAAATCTTAAAGGAGTGTACGTATCCTCGAAGTATCTCTTCAAGGACACGATTGGCACGTTCCGTCTGACCATCTGACTCTGGATGATCAGATGTTGACATCTTCAAGCGCGTTCCGAGTGATTTGAACACGGAACATCAAAAATTAGCAGTGAAGCGTGGATCTCTGTCTGATACGAGTTCACGGGGCAACCCATGAAGTCGGAAGATGGTGTCAACAAAGACACAAGCACAGCCACTTGCCGTGATTGTCTCTGGTACAGCCACTAGGTGTACCATTTTGCTGAATCTGTCAACAAATACGAGAATACCCGTATTTCCGCGTGCGTCTTTGGGTAACCCAAAGACGAAATCCATTGAGATGGATTCCCAGCACTCTGCCGGAACCGGTAGAGGCTGTAAAGGTGCACGCATTGAAGGACTTGACTTCACTCGTTGACAGACTTCGCATGCGCGAACATACTTTCGCACAAACTGATACTGGCGGGGCCAGTAAAAGTCTCGACTCACCGTGAGATATGTCTTCTCATGGCCACGATGTCCTCCTATAGGAGCATCGTGATACTCGAACATGATCCGCAAACGCAGATCAGTATCATCTGAAATGACAACACGTGGTGTGTCACCAGAAACGGCTGTATCATACAGTGAACCGTTACGAGTAGTGTATCGATCTGATGTAGATCGATACGCAGGCGACAATCGTTTCAACGATTCTCGAGATGGTTGGGAGAGATGTGCCAACAACTTCACAATCTCACCATCTTGGGCGTATGCCCGCCTCACATCATCATACAACGTTGTAGATGGAACTGAGGACGTCATAACCGCAACAGTGACTGTCTCACTGTTGGGTTTCACGACTGGTTCAAAGTCGGGACGACGTGAGAGTGCATCAGCGACGACATTGAGTCGTCCTGGTTTGTACTCGACCGTAAAGTTGTATTCTGCAAAGAATGACAACCACCGCGCCATTCGTTGTGAAAGGTGCGGGCTGTTCACTGCCGTGCGTAATGACGCATGGTCAGTGTATACAATGAAGGGTCAATCTCCTAATAGATAGACTCTGAACTTCGCGAGTGCATACTTCATGGCAAGGAGTTCCTTGTCATGCACTGGATAGTTCCGCTCAGCTGGTTGCAGCTGACGCGACTGATAGCAGACGACGCGTTCAACGCCTTCAAGATCGTACTGCATTAATGCACAGCCGATTGCGAAATCGCTGGCATCACAGACCACATGAAATGGCCTGTCCTGATCGGCTATTGCTAGGACTGGGGATTGTATCAAGCTCTGCTTGATACCATCAAAGGAGCGCTGGCATTCAGCGTTCCGTAACCACCTTTCGTTCTTTTTCAACAAACGAGAGAGGTGCACAGTCATCTCGGCGTAATTGCGTGAATACTTATGCAAATACGCCGCTAGCCCAAGGAATTTTCGAAGACCTTTGACATCAACCGGCACAGGCCAGTCGGTGATCGCCTTGATCTTTTCGGGATCAGGACGTACACCGTTCTTACCAACGATGCACCCAATAAGTGGTATTTCGCTTGCTGCAAATATACACTTCTTGAGGTTTGCATACAATTGATGCTTTCGCATGATTGTAAGAACCTGTCGGACGTGGTACCTGTGAACCTCGACATCCGACTTTCCACCCATAGCCCGACTATGGATGAATACGTCATCGAAATAACTCGGCGCGAATTCTCGTACTGGTCTCAACAGATGTGATACACATCTGTTGAACGTGGCAGGGGCATTACTAAGCCCTTGTGGCATTACTAGCCATTCCCAGAGCATGCCGCTAGGCGTGCTCACTGCGGTATAGGGCATGTCCCGTTCTCGCATAAGGATTTGATAGAAGCCATCCATCAAATCCATGGAAGAAAAGATGGTGCTCTTTGACATACCATCAATGATTACGTCCTTGCTTGGTATCGGCGTCTGAGCCGGTACCGTTGCAGCATTCAACTTGTTAAATGCATGCACTATCCGCCACCCTCCTGTTGCTTTTCGCACACAGAAGGTCGGATTTATGTGGGGAAGTTGGTTCCCTCACATGGCCCGCTGCTAAACGATCGGCAAAGAACTTGTCGATCGCAAATACTTGTTCACGAGGCAGTGGCCACTGCTTCATGACACAGTACTTCGAGCCTGGTTTAAGCTCGACCTCGTGTCGAGTACCTTTATCCTTCGGTAACTCGCACGGAACAGTTCCAGGGAATACATCCTTGAATTCAACCAAATCTTCATAGAGAGGATTTGTCTTGAGCGATTCCCACGATTGGGAGTCATATCGCTCAATCCGTGTCTTTTCATCTAGGACACTCTCGTCCATAGATGAACTACTGAGAACTCTCTCGTTCTCAGTAAACACTGTTGTTGACCTTACGTCGGCTACACACTCGTCGTCAGCGACGAGTACGCAGATCTGCTTGACTTTTCCACTACGCAGATCACGCAAGAACCTTTTATGTTCGATCGTTGGCAACTGAGTGATCTCCGAAGTCAACTTCGGAGGCGCAATCAGATCAAGTGTATAAGCGCCTACACTTGATCCATCATTGACTAGGACATTCAATGTCTCTGTCATTTCCTGAGGACTTATTCCCTCAGGCCTCGAAGGACTTATTCCTTCGACTTCCCGAAGACTTATTCCCTCGGGTTTCGGGGAACTTATTTCCGCCGTATTTGTAATATCGGGACTTATTCCCTTAACTTCCTCTAGCTGTGGTTGCGTAACCACAGCGAGATCCTCTACGAAAGACTCTCCAGTCGATCTAGGATTATCGTTTCGCTTAACCTGAGCGATCGATTGTTTCCCTTCTAGATGTTCCCCGCTAGGGATACATCTTTGTCCCGGTTCACTCGATTTATTCGAGTGGTGGACCTTCGGCGCAGCCTGTGTTTTCTCACAGCCGCCGGAACTTTGCTCCGAAGTGTAACCGTTTGGTACACTAAGGTTTTGTGCAGTCGTACTAACGACCGTACCACAAGTGAGGCCATCGCACTCACTCGTAGTACATCCACACGCTTGTGGACTCTCCAAAACGTTCATCAGATGGCCATCTGATGAACAAGCGGCAGGCATCGTTACTGTCCGATGTTGCCAGTTTACCCGTGGTTCGTACCTTCTGAGCCACGGTATTCCAAGGATGACATCAAATGTTTCATCCAAATCCAATACGATAAAGTCATCGTCATATTGGGTATCTTCTAGCGTATAGTGGATCTTCACTATACGCTTCATGACAATTACGGATGCGCCTGTCGCAAGACGTACCGTCATCCTCGTAGGAGGTGTGTCACATTCACTGAACTTAAAGTGACCATCTTCTAGCGATTGGCGTCGCACAAAATTGTCGGACGCCCCACAATCGACTAGAGCTCGAAGGGACAACTTGATTGTCACTTCGAGTTTCAAGGTAATGAGTGAGATCTCATTACCTAGAGCAGCAACGCACAACGTTTGTGTGTTGGGAGCAACCTTCATCAAGAGGCCTACAAATTCTCTTGACGTTGCTGGACCAGTAGGGTGCTCCGCACCTACTGATCCTGTCCGTTTTTTGACGGTCCATCCCGTTGTTGCGTCTTTGCACCAACAGCGGACCCGCGTCCCTGCCCCTTTCTCATGAGTGGACGGTCACTACGCCCAGTGTTGCGAGACACTGGACGAGGGGCACTACACTCGTAAGCGTAGTGTCCTGTCTTTTGACATCTGTTGCATATCTGCAACTTCTTGTAGTCTGTAGAGCGAGCATTCTCGCTCTCTACATAACAGAGTTCCATCGGCTCTGAACCTCCGCTGTCATATCGTCTCGGTTGACGATATGATGTCGAGCTGGCGCGAGCCTGTCTCATACTGAAGTCTTCCTGTTCCGCAATGTAAATGGCTTGTTCTAGTGAATCTAGTTCATGTCGGAACAGGTGAGTCTTGGCGGGACCATCCGCAAGACCCTGCATGAACACCGAAACCAACGTGTGTTCATCCACCGGATTGGGACTTATACAAGTCGTGAGATGTCGTACATGTTGCGCGTAAGCGTGCACATCACGCTTACCTTGTTTGAGCTTCAAGAGTTCAGTTCGAGCTCTGAACTCATCTCTAGGCGGTTCAAACGTTTGTCTGAGCCGCGCCTTGAAGACTTCCAACGACCCAAACGCATATGGGTCGTGCAACTTGAGCCCCAGTGCCCAAGTCTTGGCACGTCCTGCCAGATTTGACTGGGCAAAAGAAACTTGCGTATCCCCGTCGTCGATGCGACGCGCCCTTACGGCGTCGTCTAATTCGACAAACCATCTCAGGAGGGAGTCCTCTTCGACTCTCCTATACTTGGAGATGTCAATCTTTAAGGTTTCGGGTCGACGCGAATGCATCGACCCACCAGCAGCAGCCTGCTGCTGTTTCAACAGTTCAAACTGTTGAGCACCCTGTTCTCTCAACAACTCTGCTTGTTGAGAACCTTGTTGGTGAAGCAAGGCTACTTTCTCGCGTTCTGCGTCAAGTTCATTTTGAATGAACTTGGCGATAGTAGCATGTTGGGCATCTCTATTGAGAGCCTCTAGCATGACGCTGACAGCATGGATGCCCATGGTTGAACCCATCCGTTCAACCGCATCCCATTCGACATCGCTGAAATGGGAGTAGCCGTCACGCGTAGCGTGAAAGCTTTGGTCATCTTCATCATCCAACATATTCATGTTGGATGTGAACGTGGTCCTTGGACAGACTACTAAGTGCTACCAAGTGTAACGGGGCACCCTGAAGCTTGTACTGGTAACAGTACAAGCTACTTATTCTGATGACAGAATTAGGCGGTGCCTCGGAACTTCACGTACACTCGTACGTGCAGAGGAAGACGGTAAGAAGAAGCGAGTACTTGGTTAAAGTAAAAAGTAGAACTGTATTTATAATAGTTAATGTCTGCAATAAATCACTATTTATCTTCATCTAACTATGTCTAAATACAAATGTGTAAATCAATTATCTGCTCACCACTCATTGCGTGCGTCTGTCGTGGCGCGTCTTCGTTGGTTGATATTATGGCCTATATCAACCAATTAGGAACTACTCGTAAGTTCTACAGAAAATTTGTCCTTATGACAATATTCTGAGAATATAACTCTTATAGTTATATTCTATTAACAATTTCTTATAAATTGTTATGTAACGATTCACCCCGTTACAGTTAGCGTCCGCATCTCTGAAGATTTTAGTACACAGGCTTTGAACTGGCCACACTTTGACGCTCTCTATCTCGGACGATGCAATGCGCTTCTTTTTCACGCGTTAAGAGTTCGTAGTCACCCCTTTCTTAAGACCTGCTCCTATGCGCAATGTTATCAGCACCATTGCTTGTATATCGTTTACGAGCCTGAAAGCTCCTATATTGACGCGTGACCTAAACGTTGTCGCTGGCCTCGATTACAGGGGGGGGTGGGACGTTGTTTACCATCCTTTTCTTGTATCGTTGTTAAAGACTCGGTAAGTTAGTTCTTCTGTAAGTTCTGCGTCTTTTGATACTGTCATGAAGAACCTGTGCAATGTGGAACGCTGAGTGCTGCGCAATTCAAGCTCTTAGAATGCATACTTTTCCTTGGAGGATACTTAATTACTCAATCTGATGCTATGATAGATCCCGACGGTTCTGGATACGCTACACAGCCTCGACGTTCCTGTGGCAGAAAGCATCTTATTTTTTGGCGATACCCTGCGCTTGTAACCTAAAAGTCGGTGCCGTGACACCTCCTCAGTGCACTACGAGTAGCCCTTTTTCCGCCGATCTGGCTAATGCTATTTCTGCGGAGATTGAGCAATTTTCCAAGCACCCAGGTGACATCTCCTTGTTCACTTGCCTATGACTCTGACACTGGTGCATTGCGCGGACGCGTAATTCCAAGGGTGGATAATACATTAGTAGCACCATCTGATGTCACCACCACGCGAAGAACCGACGCGCATTTTTAGACGCTGCATGCGACCCGTATCCGAAAGATACCTTATGTCACTTCAACGGAGGTAGCAGCGGCGGCTGTCCCTGACAGAACTAAGCATCTGCCGAGAATTCTGTAATGGTACGGCGCTGGGCTATCCAGCTCAAATGTATGGCCTCTTTACCGAATGTATTGCCTACGAAATGTAGTAGCATGTCAATAAGATCTGACCGCACGTGAGCTAAGCTACTTTTTCCGTCTTCAGCCTTAAGTTAGTTGGTGGGGTTCTAAATCATGTGAGCGCATATCGGAGCTGAGTTCTTGCACTAGTAGTGTAGGCCTCAGGTAAAGGCTCGGAAATACGAGACCTAATAAACAGGGTATTAAAACAGCGGACCAACCACCTTTTCCATATAATCGCCGACACTTCACGCTCGGCACCGAGCATTACCACAGATGTGATAAGACCATCAATCCATTACTGTTTACTTTATGGTTATACAAGCAGACAAAGCGAGATATGGATGCTGCCACTGATCCAAAAGCAGGTCAAAATGGTTGACAACTGGTCGCCGTCACGTATGCACTTGTGAGCTTTTATCATAGCCTGTGCTCCATGAAGACGTCAAGGAAAATATTCTTCCTCACCGAGGATAGGCGTTGGGCCTCATTTTAACATAGTATGGAGGGTTGACGAAGTGGACACCCTTCCCGTTGACTACGTGGTTATACTTAAATAAAATTGTACTAATTATTCCACATCTACGGTAGCATCCAACAATAGGTTGCCCATGAAATGATAGGATGATTTTTACAACGCTCGCTACAATATGCGAGGCCTTGTCCTGGTTTGCATCCTATTTTGTATTAGAAATAGGCGAAGTTACATCGTCACACGCTAAAGCCGAAAACAATTTGGACATCCTGTTAGCATTAACTGTACATGTCCGCACTGCTTCAATAAAATCTAGCAAACGTTTACGCACACGGTCCAGTCATGAATGTCACGACCACCACATTGTTGCGATCTCCTCAGCTTGACTGCATCTAGATACGACACAATTTCCGTACGGCCCTATCGGACGGAGTCTGAAATATATATTGTATTGACTTGTTACAACAATGCGAACGCAAGGGTTCTCTCAGCACATGTAATGTGAAATATATGACGTGCGGCTGCTCATCTGTCTTCGTGAAAAAGCAAGTTATCGTGTGAACGACCACCCGTCACCTATGCCAGTCGTTCATATAGAAACCAATACGAGTACAGTCACCTATGGAATGACTACGCTAAAAAGGCAGTAGACGGTGGTCCTAGTTGCAGCAAAGGTGCAAAACAGCCGCCAGACTGCCTTCAGATCTGCTACGACGACGAACGGCAATAAAAACTCGTCCGGTAGGTTTAGTGGCGCTGCTACAACGAGAATGAAACAAACGACCGCTATTACATGCACAGGACACGCCGGCGCTCACGCGTCAGCTTATTGGGGATACCACAATCTTGATTCGAAGTGAAAGGGGCCATTTGATAGTTCCAGGGGATTGAGCCGTCAATGTGGGATCATCATTATTTATTTAATGAGGAGGTGCCCATTTGGTGATAACCATCTATTGGAGCCTCCTACTCCATTGCATTGCGTTTTCGTCAATGTTGGCCGTATTTAAATGTAATTAAGAACCCGGCAGTTCATTAGCAGCTCTCGTTGAATTGCATTCATTCTCTTTGGCGATCCATTCGACCACGCTTGTCTCATCGATCCAGATGACTTGCGGCTGCGCGCTACATTTAATGGATAAAGCGGACATCAGGCAAAATGGCCGCTCTGGCGCTATTGCGGTAAAACTACGTGATGACTCAGACTTGCCTCGTGTGTCATTTGGCAGTCCTAAAACAGATCGAACATGAGACCTAGTTTAATGTGTGAGAGTTTGTATGAAATGCTCGGCCATCCAGCACCTAACGAGGTACCTAGTGATAATATGCGGAGTCTGGTCTGTAAAATTTGTCAAAAGGAGACATGGTCGTAGCAAGAGGAGAGTAAGCACTCAGTCACACACTGACTTTGTGTTGTAGATTACTAGCTCTTACCCAGGTGTTCTCTTATTTATCATCATTACTGTATGTGACTTACTTACAACCTTCTGTCCACTGATTGTCTGCATCTGTACGACCATTGGCTTGGAACGAGGTTCCAACAGGAAGATACTTTAACCGCTGATGATAGTGACAATACCCTGCTTCCGTAAGCGCAGTCAACGCGCTGTCAAAGGTGTAAACCTGTTTTTCTGTATTGTGTCGGTACACTGTGTCGGTCAAAACTCAGGTGAGCTTGCTTCACAGGACCATATATTATCTCCAAGGACCATTCTACCTCACGTGCTAGAAATGCTAGCCACAAGTATACCAAAGTCTTCCACGGTCTTAGCCGATCGTTTCAAGTCCACCTTCACAGAAATTGTACCACCGCCGCTTGCCTTTTTCAGCCGTAGAAAAGATGGACAAGCTATTTGTAGCAAGCGTATACCAGCCCTACCAATCCACGGACTGAAAACGTTCCAACGAGGCCTGGGCCTCTCCAAGATCCTTTTGCACCTTTATGCGCTTGTAAAAGATCGGGCAATCGCGACTGGAGCACAACACGTCTTGGTGCAAACTGCCCTGGCAGTTTTGGCATTGTGTCCAAAGGCGAGCAAACATGTGCTCGAGCTCATTGACCGACACGAGCTGACGTGAAAATACTTCTGCCTCGCGCTCAATGCAGCTGCGGCAAAGCGCTCCCTTGCCATTCAGTGGGGCCTTGCAGCCTAGACACTTCAGCTTCTTCACAGCAAAATTCATCATGCCGCCGCTGTTCTGCTTTAGAATGGGTTTAGAACGCTTGAGGGTGTGCGTACCATTAAGAAGATCTGACTTGACCTTACTCAGGCCAATGATGGGCTCAAAAATACGCTCCAGCGGGTTTTGCAACTGCTGTTTCATGTAGTAGTCGCAGTCAATCGGTATGTTGTTTTCCAGGGCATACACAGGATCCTCCGCCTTCTCGTACAATGGCGTGGCTTTGCCCTTGTCAATAATCACGTAAGCGATACGTTCACCCAGAGCTGGAGCAGATCCGGCATCCCGTTTCCGCATTCGTTCAGCCAGCTCAGTGTGGGCCTGCTTTACCTTATAGTCATCTTGATCAACAGTCTTTTTCAGCCCTTTCGTGATCACCAGCAGTGAGATATCGATGCGATTCTGCAGCAGATCCGAAATAACGTTTTTCGTGTACGCAATAGCGCCCGGCACATCTCGATTAATAAGGATCTTGCGCAGTACTGATTCGACCATACGCCGTACCAGCAAGCAATTGTCACGACGAACGGTCTCAAGGCCTTTGGAGTCCAGCTTATCGTACTTTTCTGGCCTTGTCCAGAGCAAACCAGCGTACCGCTTTTTGTTCATCAGCAAGTACGGAAAGTATACCTTCTCAAATTCCAGCTTAATCGGAGCTGGAAAAATTTCTGACACACGCTTGGCAGCCTCTTCAGCAAGTGGCATGGCATCGGCCACGGTGTCAACACCAAACTTGATCATCACAGAATCCGTGTCTCCGTATATTACTTGTGCATCCGCCTTGTACCCATTTGCAACCGTGTACACGCGTTCAACTTCCTCACGCGTACGGAACAGCAACTGGCGACCATATGCTGTTGTACTTGACGCGATTGGAATGCATGGCATTTGCCCAACAATTGCACCCGTAAATCCGTACACAGAATTTGCACTCACTTTGAGAGCAAGTTGTCGACCGTTTTGCACTGCTTTTTCCATTGGATCAGTGGCAGCATCCATATCTCGCTTTGCCTGCTTTCTTGCTGCCAGCACTTCCTCCAGTATCAGTGGCAGAATGCCTTTCTTCTTTTTGCTTGTCACAAAAATATCTCCCGATGGAGACTTCTGGTAATCACCAGGAGCCAGTTTGTCCGCATCTCCAGGCGCCACTAGCGTCGAGTAACAAAGGTTGAAGGCCTGCATGATCGACGGGTACAGGGATGCAAAATCAAGAGTTGCGATGGGTACTGTGTAAAATGCTTTCATGGGCTCAATCACAGTGGCGCCCTCATAGCCTGTGTCTTCACTGTTCTGCGAGCGAGGGAGCGTCGGCACAACGAGTGATGCGTCCTTGCACTTGCGCAAAAGCATGGAGAAAACTTTGATTTGCTGACCGCGCTCGATCAGGAAGTCGATCGGGACGCCGGAAACACGGGCCATTTCGATGTGATTAACGAGGTAAGAGAGTTTGTCCAGCAATCGTAGCGGCAAGTACGCATCTTTCAGACAGTACACAGCGAGACGGTGGCGGTCGTCGTCAGTACCTAGCTGCAAGTCACTGATGATACCGTGAGGCACGTCTTCTTTTTGTTGACCCAAGAAAGCAGCACTCACTGCATTTAGCGAGTATGAGCTCAGCTGTTGGTTACGACGCATAATCGGCAGCAAATCAAACATGCATCGTCCATGGATCGTCGTTTTAACGTTTTCGCTCTTGCCATATTGCGCCGAGCTAAACGTTTTCTTTCCATGTGGACCGCACTGCCGTAAGCCACACCAAACTCAGTCAGTTATATAGCGTAGCAGAAATATCAACGAATAAGAGAGCGTGATGCGTACGTGTTTGCTAGTCGACCCAAGCGATTGTAGTTCTGCAACTTAAGAGCCTTGCCACGGTTAAGCAAGTACGGAATATCAAAATTGGCAATATTGTAACCAGTGATAATATCCGGGTCTACGTCCTGCACAAAATTTGCCCACTTCTCCAACATGTCTCCTTCTTTTCGAACTCCATCACGTGCGCACCAACTATTGGTTTGCAGGTGTCTAGCACAAAGACATTGCGGATAATAGGTGTGGTAGATCCCTGCTCCTGTACGACGTTGGCAATTTGAATCACTGGGTCTTGTTCGGCCTCCGGGAAGTGTCCTTTCCGACCCATGCACTCGATATCAAAACTCAAGATCCGGAAAGGAGCCACCTTACTCCATCTTCCTTCTAGCGCATGACTCACTAAATTGTCGTACGTGATATCGATCTCCAGCTGACACAGCGACATTTTCTGGGAGGACGAGCGTACCGAGTACGTGCCATGGGGCGCTTCCACCCAGTTGCATCCTCTGACATCCTCGTCGATCATAAAGCGCAGAATAAATGGCACGTTGCTCTCATACGTCTGGTAATTGCGAAAATCACAGCCCGGGAGCGTGAGACCCGCTTCCAGAGCACTGCGCAGCTTGGGAACGTAGCTGGGCATGCTCAGAAAGATCTTAAAGAGCGTCGTTGTCCTGTCAAATTGGTAGCCGTAAATAGACATCTTGTCCCGTACCACTTGGACGCCCACGACGCGCGCATTGCTGCTGCTGCTGCTGCTGTCTCGGTCTCGCTGACTTACAGCCGAGTCAAGTGCCTGTCGCACATCTCTGCAGCGACTCTCATCGAAATTGTCTGGACAAAAGCAGTAGAAATAGGGCAACACGCCATGGACGTGCATGAGCACGCTGTTGCCTTCCATCGTGACGCCAAAGAGACGGATGACAGCTGCGCTCTGCCTCGCGTCTCCACTGAACTGGACTCCCGGCACTGCCGCTCCCTCCTTCGGGTTCTTCTGGAGCGGAAGCCCGTCGTACATGTCAATGTCGATCCATTGGAAAGCCACTGCGTCCACGTGCGGGTCAAGGGGGCCCAAGGGCTTGCGCGCCCACGCACTGGCTGTCGTGGGCACCGGCGTCATGCTCTCCAGGTCTTCCACAAACGTCGAGCGCTCTGTCTTCACGCCATGTCCATTCAATCGGGGCTTCTTCGCCTCCGTCCAGCTCGACGGCGGCTCGCGCTTCCGTGCGGCCATTGACAGGTGCGGGTGGCTTGGCACGTCAAGCGGATACTTTTGTGGCTGACATGGTTTCTACCAATCCGCATGTCGAAACACGTCTGCGCTCTTCTGATTGGATGAAAGTATACACACGGACACTGCCGCTGTCATGCACAAGCTGCGGCCCCCACGCGGCGTCTCGGACGAGGGACGTGCACATGCTGTCGGGTCTCCGTGGGTCTGATGACATGCAGCATGCCTCTTCCTGCCTGCGTCTTCTCTCTCGTGTCTTCTTTTGCTTACAGATGCGGAGTTTTGCGCGCCTGAAGGGGGCAGCGATGTGGATACCTTTTCGATGTTGGTGAGCGACTCAGACATCGGGGTGGAGGTCCGTCTGATTCTCAGCTACCACCAAGCTCACTCGTTGAACCGAACCGACGGAGCAGTGGTGAAGTGGTGCTCGGCAGCTTCTGCTCTGCTCATAGTCACAAGGTGGACGGAGGGCCTTCTGCTTTGGCGTTTCCAGCTTGGTGTGGAGTCACGTTATCGTGATGACGAAGCACTCGTGAAGGTCACGACCAAGCTCGACCACGTGCTGATGCACATTCGAGTGTGCCTTGCTGATATGGTTTTGCTACGGGTTAGCAGCAGCCGCAGCGAGGGAAGCAGTAACAGCAGCTAAAGGCACTTGCTGCTGGTGGCGTTTAGGCATGTGGCCAGTGCTTTCGTGTCGTGGCAAATTGTTGTTTGCAATTGCTACGATGAGATGTGATGTATCGCTCTCGACGATATACAAGACGTGGATGGACGAGTAGGCTGCAAAGTTTCAAGTGCTGATGACGCTTGTGGCACGAAACGCTCTTGCACAAGAGTCCGCATTCGCTGGAGATCAGCATTACCTTCTTGACTTAGGTCGACTGTGGAGGACTCACCTGTTGTCCGGAGCTAAATCAGTGCCTGTGCTCGATCGTGTAGTGGCAATCGACACTTGAGGCGCCTAGTGTGGTGGTGGAGTCTTCCCGTGTGATAAGTCGTGCAACGAGCGCCAGGGAGTCGTTGCGAGCTCTGTGATCGGCGCGCTATGCTAGCGGGTACTGGATATTTGCCATTCAGCTTCGATAGACCTTTCGTAGTGCGTTCTTTGGACGGGAATGTTTTTTCGATGCCTCTTTGGGCGCTGCGTTCAGTCATCGCAACTTCAATTACCTTACACGCTTCTATAGCTAGTGTTGGTGCCGTTGCGCTTTTTAACACACTAGGTCATTGTAATTTACAATCTCTCAGTTTCCAATGGATCGGGTACGTTTTACACAAGACAGTATCAAGCTTGCTCATTCTGATGGACTAAAGTCAGTTTGTCTTGTGTTCATTTGATAGATCGGTGCTTTCCACAGTGTTTTCGCTGTCTTCAGGATAGGTACAAATGTCGCTTGGGCAACAAGTCACATCCGTATGTCGCTGTGGCCGACATGAAAAGGTAGACTGACTTGCCTTAGGTGTCAATTGCGCGACGTCTGCCTCAAATAAGATATTCATCTGTTTAGACGCTCATGTGGAACGTATGGGTGCTTGACGCAAAACGGAATCAGCTGCAATTGGGAAGATGTGTACACTCGTAAACAAGGTCGGGGACTGGGCAAGACTTATACACGTGAGATATCCGCCTCGCAACGATTGCGGTGTGCACGTTCTTGTGGAAGCTTGCGATTTCGACGCGCCATTGAACTCTATCGAGCGGGGATCAGAGGGGTCGTGTGTGCACTGATAGTACTGTTGCATCACTGGCGGGTACTTGACTCATCCAATCGAAATCGTGTCAGCATGTTCCTCAATCGTTCTTACGCTATTTCGTGTGTGGTTTGTGCCATCGTTCTTGATGTGGTCTAGCTATGCTATCAAAACAATGGGACTGGTGCGATACTCTTCGGTCTGTTTCAACCTGTCTTGTTTCGACGAAGGACGAGGTAGCGACATCAGCTGCAGATTGTAGAAAGTTGGACGATGCTCGCGGCTAGCGGATCACTATTGACAATTCGACGTGCACCAAGGGGAAACGGAGTGAGCTTGACCTCATTGTGCTCAGAGGCACGGCCTATCTATCTTACGTTTGACTGATTATACTTGTGCATTCAATGTGCCAGGTCTGGAAAAGACATCAAACAGCGGACGGCTGCTTAGAAGCTTGTACCTGATTGTTTCGTAGGTATGGCCTATGTTGGAGCAACTACTCGACATGGCTATTGTGGCGAGATGAGGACGAATATTGTGGGAGGCAACGCACTAGTAAATAGAGCATGTGAGAGACGTAGTTAAACGGGATGTATAGTTCTGCGTCGTTAAACGGACGAGTGGAATACCGTTGCGCATTCAAACACAGGGTCACTCAACACGTCGTTGCGCTTCCAAGGACAGAGTCGTTTCCAGTTCGGCTTGAAGGTTTGTCTTGCACTCTGTGGCACTACGTGTCCGAAGAAAAAAAACTAGATGTGTGAGGCGTCCATGCATGTGAAGACCAACGACATAAAACAAGATACACACAAGCTCACACGTCGTTGTGGAAAATCACATTGATCGCAATGTTACTCCGAACGACACAGTTAGCAACGAATGTATGAGGCACGCGCGAACTATTCCCACTTGTGTCCACTTCGATGGTTGCCTATCCCATCAAATTTATGTTTGACAAGCCATTGATCGATCTCTTAATTCTCTGCAGCTGGATGCGCCTCGCTCGCTTTTGCTTCGATGAGGAATCCAGCTCAAGATCAGAAGCTTCCTCTTGCCCTCGCTTTCTGCCTCTGCTCTCCGTCCCTTTCACGTAACTCAGGCCGCCCTTCTTCTCCCTGTCGCCCTCGATGTGCAGCTGCCCGTTATGCTGCACGTCGAGCCACTTGTCGGACCGCCCTAACTGTCCAAATATTCTCCCAACGAAATCCTCGGTAACTTTCCAGTTCCGAAAGTGAGGAACCAAGGTCGTTGCCATCACCGTTTGTGCCGCAAGATCATTGTTTAAGCAAATGTGACGCACGTATGCAATCCAAATTGCAAACTTTTGGCTGTTCACAAGACTGGCAGCTCCGTCCACATAAGATGCAAACTTCGCCTGTTCGATCACTTCGGCGAGCCCAAGTAGTTTGAACACTTCATCGGGTCTCTGGCCGCGATTGTCCCACACGGTTATCAGAAACCGCTGCAAGCTGTCAGCGATGTTTCGTAGATCCTCCGGGTTCTCACGACCTCTCAACGCGACGACCACAGATACCAGAATGGCTTCATTTTCTTCAAAAGTCAACTTGGAGTCAGCTGTCATCGTATCCGAACGAGCCGCCTCAATGTACTTGCCTGCAACACCCTCGCTATCTAAAAGAAAGCTCGGCTTTTCGTTATGCAGAGCTGACCAAGCAACGTTGGTCATTTGTTCCACCTCTTTGGCCCCTAGGTCTTTAAACATCGACGTCAAATGCATCGACAGGGCCCCTTCAGAGAGAGCGTTTCTCTCTTCGTTGCCGTTGTCAGCATTTCGTAGGTCCTTCTGAGCGTGACCGTTGCGAGTGTCGATACGGAGCGAGCCGGGAAGGACGGTCGAATTGACCTCGTTGATGTGTTTCGACACGGCTACGGCTGCGAGCAGCAGACCCGCGTAGCGAACGCGCATGATTGGGATGTGGCAAATTGCTTAGTGACCAGTCAAGGGGAGAGCGGTAAGGCCCGTCGTGTGCACCAACAGCTGCGAACGCCGACGATTGTGGGGACCGTCACAGATCAGAAATAATGCGCGTCGACTTGTGCTTTGCATCGAGCCGGAACGCTCGACCCATACTAGAACCAAGTGAACTCTGACGATAGGAGACACGCGATTTGTATAGCCGGGGACCACTGTGTTCCAAGTCACAATGATACAGCCATCCACATTGGTGCTCATAACTCCAAAACTAATGCGAACTAGACGCTGTCGTCATTTGAAGATGATATGCGCAACAATTTAAGATACTCCTTTGCAGTGTTAAAAATCCGATAATATGAATTTTTCTCATAGCTCACATGCAAAAAAGCGCTTTTCGTGCTTGGCAAAAAGTGTACGGTCAAAAATAGCTACAAATTTTTAGAGAAGATATTAATTATTTTCTGTATTCCTATATTGTGATGAGAGTTTAGAAAAGTAAATCAGACTAGTAATGTGTATTGTTTTCCTGCATTCTGAGGACTTCAATGCAACGGTGCGGCATGGAGTCGATTAAAGGTCACTTGTGTTTCTCGCTGTATGTCCTTTCACGTTTTAACGACTGCCGAGGTCAGAGCTGATACAGAATCGTACTGTTTCCCGATCTGGTATACCTCGCTGGACAGTATAGCCCACATATTTTCGATCGGATTTCAATCCGGAGAACGAGCAGGTCAGTCCATCACATTCGCGCCTTACTCAGCGAAAAAGTCCGTCGACATCGGGGTATGGATGGCCGTGATGTCCTGCTAAGATAGAAAGTCTGTACCGTATTTGCGATAAGCGAAGGCAGCAAATACTAGGATATCGTGTAGATAAAATACTTTGGATGTTGGTTTCCACCAATATGGCCAGCTCAGTCTTCCCGACTCCGCTAAACCCACATCTAGCCATAACAGACCCTCCGCCCATCGAACGAAGATTCGTCTGCATATTAGAGACACGTAAGTCCCTTCAATCGTGCTGTAGGCCATCTGGCCCATCGAGCTTCCATTTCTGTTCGTCATAAAAATGATCGACATCCATGCACTAAAAGATATCGGCATTTTCTCCGACCATGAGAGACGTTGCACTCTACGTATATTCGAAAGATAGAGCGTATCGTGTGCGACAGCCAATCTTTACATTGGAGGATGCGGCGCATAGTGCGAACCAAGCACTTCATCTCGAGCTGATGATGCAGCTGTATTGATAAAAATCCGCTTGCTGCTGTGCGAGCCAGAACACGACAAGCAAAATCGGACAGATTTTTGGTCTGTCAGTGCTGATGCAGCCGAAGTGACCGCTCACAACACGCATTACTGCGTCAATTGACCGATTGAAAAAGCATGCGCGATGACGCGCCCTGTTAGGCTGGCTTCATGCAAGTCCTGAATCCTCCCATAGTATAGGTCGATTAGCGCTTCCCCTTCCTCATTGCTTCAGAAATGCAAAAAACCGTTCATAATTTAGCTGAAACTTGTGCGCTTTTTGGCCGTATACTTTTTGCCGGCCCGAAAAGCGCTTTTTTGCATGTGAGCTAAGAGATCGATTTATAGAATCGGATTTTTAACACTGCAAGGGGGTATATTAAAGCTTTGCGCATATCATACTCAAACGACAGCGTCTATGTAGCGAAGCTACACATCTTTTAAATCAGAGAAAGACTTAATGCTCAAAGAGTGATATTAGTTCTAAAGCACTAGGTTTTAAGAGTCAACAAGCATAAAGCTTAAGGTCCCTGTTCCAGAGGACCAAACGATTCAGTGAATCTACAGCACTTTATGCTCAAGAATAGCTACCTTATGGAGGTGTTGCCAACTCTTACCGGTCTATGATCAGAGTCGCCTCGCAAGGCACGTGTATAAGACAAGATCAAAGGGGACTGAACTGAACATTATTTACGTTTAACTCTACAAATTGTTTTAATCTTAATATTACCTTATCTAGGCACTCATGTCCTGAATAAACATCTTCAAGATCTTCCATATCTTGTGGCTGACGCCCGTCAGCCTCTACAAACAAACACGACATTCTGAATCTCTTTCAGTAAGATACCAAAATGTGTGTAGGTAACGAGACCCTACGAAGTGTAACTCTTTACGTTCTCCCTCACCAGACTGACAATTACCCAAACGTCAGTCGAGCTTTGTTCCTCAACATGGGTCAGTGCGCTTACGGTTACCTTTACGGCATGTAAAGCTTAAGCACCATGTCTTAATCGCCTAACGAGTCACAGAATATTTGTGTACTGTCTCCTCCATCCCTCGAGATGGAGGAGACAGTGGACTATGGCATCAATACCAGTGTCCCGGGTGATGCAAGAACAATATCCGATACACCTATGTCGGAGGCTCAACCACTTACTACGTTAATTCCATTCGAGAAACGTGGTGTGCGAATGTGCCATTGGCGCCGCGTTCAACACCCGGTTGGAATGATGCAATTGTTTCTTATCCGCTTGATGAGCAGCAATAGTTGGATGCTCAACGAGAAGAAAGCGACCGGCGCTATACACAAATGCTCACGACCCTTGCTAACCAGCGTGACTTTGTGTATAACTCACTCAGTGTGGAGGAACTTTTACGTCAAACGCCCGACCAAAGTTTGGCAACGTGGATCATTGGTCCTGTAGCTGTTTCTCCCGAGGAAGGGGAATTGGTCAGGCACTTCGTGAGAGATACCTGGATCCATTTCTGACAGCGCAAAGTCAGTGCATGGCACACCTTTAGATGCAAGCACGTGGTGCACCGGTTCCACCGATCAAGGGTGTACGCATTCTCTTGTTCGCAGGCAAAACAAAAGACGAAGGAGAAAACGAATTTATTCGCAGGGCGCACCGCACTCGTTGCCTCATCAGTATGTACGCTCTGAGAGCTAGCGTCAGTGTGGAAGATGTGCGCCTCAACCACAAGCTTCGGCATGATTTGTTATGCAATTTTTAAAGCCAGAAGGCAATTGCGCAATCGCATGCGCTAGGCTTCAGCTACTACGGTAGCCGCGAGTGCTGTTCAAACTGTGTCCATCAAGCCGCCAACCCACACCACTAGTGGTGAGAATCAGTCTAGTCCTCGAGATGACACTGGTCAAGATGTTCATTACATCTACGGCGTAGGATCAATCTTGCCGAAGGGAAATCTTATACCCCCATGAGTTCTCCGACTCCAAATACCCACGCCACTTCACCAGATACTATTGTTGGACATGACGACGACGTCGTTTCAGGAATCTCTCTACATGGAACTGGCGGTTTCCTTGCTCATCGAGCCGCGTCGGTGGAGGCCGGTGTATTGAAGAAGGAGCATGAGAAGGTACTTCTTGTGCTGAGTGGTCTCCCTGATACATTGTTATAGACCCAGAGTGTGCTTGACGCGACGCAAGCTCGCTTTCAAGGTTGGAGTCGGGTCACACTCAAATGGAGGCCCAGCTTGACCTCCTGATTTGGATTCAGCAACAGATTGCAAGGTTAGCTTCCGCGGCGTAAGCACCTCCTAGTTCACGTGGGATGAATCCCGATACGGCATAAGAAATCCACCGTAGAACACAGGATTAGTGCGCTATTTACGTGCAGGATTGAGCTCATGAGAAAAATCCTTGTTAGAAACGACCGTGAATGGTCCAATGAAGCGCGGACGCAACCTTGTATTAAAGAGAGCGGACACTACATGTGTAGGCAGGTTAATAGCATTGAGCGATACTTGCTCTCCGATCTGATAGCATTCAACAAAATCTTTTTTTAGTATATGCTTATCGCTTCTGTTGGTCTTGGCTTATAGCCATTGCGTCATGCACATGTCGTAAGACATTCAATTGTGCTACAAGAAACTCGTTCAACTAATTTTGAACTGTAGCAGGGCTGATATTAGCAAGCCGATCGACAAAATCTCCCCTAGCAAGCCCAGAACCGCATATTGGTAGCGTTAATGGTACGCGAGGGTGGGTGATTCCGTTCATGTAGAACGGAATGTATCCTGTAGAGGCATGAACAGAGTTGTTCAAGGCAAACTCGACAACAGGAAAAATGGATCCCTAACACTTTGTCGTATCAGCGCAAACACTGCGCAAAATGTCAGTAATGACGCGATTAACACGCTCACGTTGACCATCGGTCTGCGGATAATTCGCTGTGGACATGTCCAAGTGGGTGCCAAGCACCTAAAATATGGACTTCCGAACACTCTAGTGAAGCGGGGATCTCTATCAGAGCTAATTGCCATACGCAAACTACAGTGTCAAACGAACGAATGAAAGAGCTTCGCTGTACCTTCGGCATCAATAGAGTCCGGCAATGCTGCTAGATGATCCATCCTGCTCAATCGGTTAACAAAGACCACAATGTCAGTGTTGCCCCATCTGAATCTTTTGGTAGGCCAAACACAAAATCCATACTCATGTGCTCCCAACATTCAATGGGTACAGGTAGACTATCCAGCGGCGCTGCCGCATGTGCTGAGAGTTTAATCCGTTGACACGTTTCAGACGTAAGAATATAGTTGCTCATCCTCTTGTAAAGTTAAGGCCACCAATAAGCCTGGCTCACTGAGCCATAGGTCTTCTCACGACCTCGATGACCACTTGAAGTGGTATCAGGTGCCTCATAGAGGATACGACACTTTAACATCTTATCATGAGGAAAAACGATACGAGGTCTATACTCAATATCTGTGCGATAGCACAACAGGCCCTTATCGATAGAATATTGATGTAGCCTCGCACGTAAACGTGTCGACAATTCTATTTCCTAGTCTGTATACTCGTCTTTCTCAAGAACTCGTAGAAACTCTCCACATTATTTACCTGTAGCATAAGCCTCACGGATTAAGTCATTGACTGGCGATGACTGCATAGTGACGTGGGCAAGACCGTAGTCAGGTCGGCGCGATTGCGCATCAGCCAACGTGTTTTACTTTCCTATTTTTGTACTTCACTCCGAAGTTATATTCGGCATAGAAGAT